TGTTATTCAATGCCGCGACGTAAATCAAGAATTTCGGTAGCAAGAACTCTGAAAAACAAACTGGTGATTGCTCCAATAAAGGAAGTGGGCAGCTTCGGGTACTTCCCTCTTGGACTGGTCTGCGAGACCATATATTGCGCTGCCTCATCAGTCGATAACACCTGCAACAACGAAATCCGCAGATATAAGTGACAGACGTTCACGCAGTACGTAACTGAGGTTCCTGTTTGAAGTCTGAATCAACCTGAGCAAACAAGTGCGAAAAGAATGGCTGCAGAAATTCCGATTTTTTTGCGCCGTGGACTTTGCCATCTTTTTCATAGTACTGTAGCAATACTGCTTCGAAACTGTATTCTTTTCCGGACAATTCCAGACGCGTGTCGTTGGGAACACGCGTTGGTTGAAATTCGTATGCATCCTGTAAATGTTATCTCTGCCAGAAATACTTCAACTACTTTCAGTTTCGAAAACTGCACTGCAAGACACATCAGGGATTTTCACCGCAGCACCGCCACCCATGTGCTTGTGGTGGGCCCTCAGTTTGTAGTCCAGCGCAGCGGCGCATCCAACAAGGTGCCCAAACGGTTCTTTGGTGTCGTTGAGAGCTGCCTTCAGGTCTTCAGTGCAAGGCGCATTTGCGCTTGCAAGCGCAAGGCTGTTTCCAGCCCTCTCAAACCTCTTGACGATTTTGGAAATATCGATCTCCGCAAACTGTGCACCAAAACAGCGGTTCTCTCTTACAGCCTACAAAACAACAGTAAGCTGCTCAGTTTGGACTTCGTATGCATCTGCAGTCACGACGTTAATATAATCTTACTTCCAGCTGAACGTCGTTCGATGCTTTGAGCAATTCCTCGCATAGCACAACCATATCCACTGATTCCCGCGCGCGAATCCGAGTTCCCAGCGGACCTTAGCCTTCAGTCAATGGTTGCGAATTCTGCAGGTTTCTTATGACAGTGCTGCTTCATAGTCACCGGTGGATCCAGGACGGTTAGAGGGCAAGGGGTGATTTGGAAGTATCTGCTACCCGCAGTCCCCCTCGTCGAAGCATCGGGGACCTCACTAGTTCCCCTTGGTCGACACAGAACGCTTCGCAACCTCCCTCCCCCTTTTTTCACCTCGCCGGCTAGCCCGAAACGACAGCGATGAAAAGGAAGGCGGGGCCGACAAATGGCACCAAAAAAAAAATTCTATCGTGAAATAACTGCAAACTGGGCCGCTGGGCAGTAGGCTCACACAACCATCACCTCCCGGATCCGCCAATGCTCTCTGATACAGAAAACGATATTTCACAGACTGCAGATAATCGGCTAAACTGAACAGGAACATACAAGAGCAGGACAGACCTGTGCGCTGGAACTTTCGCTCGTTCGAAGCTCTTCTTCAATCCCCAACAATTCCATTCCAGCGCTCACTCCTACAGAGAAGCAGTAATTACACGTTGCTGTGTTGCCCGTGTAATCAGGCAATACTTTAGAGAAGTACTATCGAAAATATCGCATAGTGAAAAGCGAGAAATCATTAAAATCATTCGCGGCGCGCACTGGGCGGGCCCGTGCGGTCATGCGTTTTTGCAATATTTCGTGCTGTGATAAGATCGCTCGGAATCCAGTACCTAGAAATATATGATATACTGCGGCCGGACCTCGGCCGTCCTCTGCTACCTCGGCCGGACCTCGGCCGCCTCGGCTCGCCTCAGCTAGCTTCGGCCGGCCCCTGGCAACGGCATTATCGTGAAGCATAGAGTAGGAGAGCGGGACGGGGAGGTGAG